TCGCTAGAAAACAGTGTGCTTAAGCTTCTTTCTTGAAAGCTTAACTTGTGAGGAATCTTTCAATACCTTGCTTCTCTTCATCTGACAGCCCATCTCGGGATTCTCTGGAACGGTCCGGTGGTACAGCGGTCCATTCAGCCTCGGAGTCCATATTTCCGTGTGCAGCAGGAGAAGATGGACCCTGAAGCGGGCCGCGAAAGTTCTTCAGAATTGAACCGTAATTGGTTGTCAGACAAAGAACCTGCCATTGCGGCGGGCGAACGTGAGAAGACAACTGGTGCATTTCCGCAGCTGTATGGTGTACATTTGCGTAACCCAAGCGAGCCCCTTCATCTGGATTTGAGCATATACGTGCACCAGCGTGCAGACAACTCAACAACGGTTAGAGCTGGGGGGTCGTGGAGGAGGAGAAGACATGAATGCGCCGTGCCCATGGCCAGTATTTTTGCAGCTGCCCTCGTCGTAACCTTTTTGGCGCTACTGTGCTTTCGGAATCTAGGAACGAATTCAGCTTTGGCACCAAGATCAAGATTTCTGGCGGAAGATCGCTCTGTTGGATCTCACATTTGCGCTGTGAGGCTCTTTCGCGTCAAGTTTTTTCGTCGCTGTGATGGGAGGATGACTTACCGTAAAGTGGGACATTCTTTACTTCAGTAAACACCGGGACACAAAGTAGTGGGCTTCGGATTGTGATGGTAAAGTCACCGTGGGTGTGTCGAGCAATAACGCAACAGTGTATGTTCCGCGGGACAGGTCGCACCGTGCAGTAGAGGTATTTAGTGACACACTGTAACACTATGTGGGCAGCTATCGGGCATAGAAGTGTGTTACAAATTTCTTTTGCACGTTTTCACATGACATGAACACAGGTAACAAGAGAATTAGGGGGTGCTTGAGGCCTGTGAGCCGTTGGCCGTTTGGAGAGGATCCCCGCGGCTGCCCCTGACAGGGAATATTTGGGAGTTGTGCAGCCCGGACGATGATCGTAGACAGTTATTGTGTCGATTTTGCATCATGTGTGTGCTTGGCCAACAGTGCTGTAGTAGTGTGCCGGTATCCGTGTGATGCGAGCATTGATTAGGAGGAGTGTGATTTTCTGTTTAAGCCACCGGTGTGCAAATGTATGCGTGGCCTGTGACTGTCCCAGAATGGAAGCAGCACTACAAGGGAACAGCTATGTGTCCGGGTCTAATTTTGTAATGTGGTTGTTTACAATCTGCGTCAGCGAAGAAGTCAAGGCAGCAAATCGCCCTGCGGACAATTGCTTGGTTGCTGGCTGGCTGTGTTTTCATTTGCTTTTTTTCGGTCAATACTTGCCACAACATTTTCCTGTTTTTATAGCAGACTGTTGCACAGCGCGGACAAAAACAGCAGCCACACAGTTTTGCCGTCAATGAAACGGAGAGCGACCCAATGAAGTGTATGTAGCAACAGTTCATCTCTTGCCGAAATTTGCGCTGTAACGGTAGATCGAAGTCGTGTTTTAGGATTAGCAATGTGGTGCTTCCTACTTTTCACCGTGCAGATGCTTTGGGTGCGTCTCCTGCACTGTAAAACCTTCGTGCTGAGTGTTTTAGCCAACATTAAAGGCATTTCGTTTTTAGTGATGATAGGATGATTGTATTTTTGTTGCTATTTGAAAAAGTTCACACAGATTCAGAGGTGCGGGTGCGGTTCGTGCTTTTCGGGTTACTGCGTTGGTACTGTATTCGCCGAATAGAGTAAGATGCGCCTCCGCAATCTTCCGGAGTGATGGCGCCGCTGTGGACTAGGGGCACGCAGCGCTTGATATCGGCTTCTGCATGGCCTTTGAAGAGGGCTATGTTCAATTCTTCGATTATTTTGCGATGCATGAGGGCAGAGCGTTTCGTCTGACGGAGAGGTATATGAGGGATACCTGAGGAGCGAGCGTACTGTTTCTCGACGATATGCGTTTCTCGACGATATGCGAGTCGCGCTGGATGACGCACCTTCCACCCCATATTTGTAGCGTTCGGCGTTCTGACATTTGCAAGAATGGTACTTCGGAGGGAACAAACAGTGAAATGCAAGAAGCGCCTGGTTTTCCTCTCGAGCTTCTCATTAAAAGAACCTAGATGGGGGAAGTGAGCCTGGCGCGCTGGAAACCGAACAAGCAGTTGCGTTTTCGAGCTTCTGTAAACATATCTGGACAGTGCAGTCTTGCAGCACGTCTACATGGTGGTCTGAAGTGTCGTGGCTGTTCGGTACTGGGTGAACAATATTGAGACGTTGAGAGCATGGTGTGAACGCATGGAGAGGAAGGAAGATGACGCTGCTGGTATGACGGCTGCTGATGATTCCGAAGTCCATGCATGACCAAGTCCAGGCATGACCTTCGTACCGGATGGTGGCTGACAGGACTTGCGAAAAAGCCATAGGAGCGGGTGTTACGTTGTCTCACGGTGATGCAGCATGCGCGGCAAAATGGGAAGGGTCCACAACTGTCACATGCGTTTTCTTAGTGTAGCTGACGTGGGCAGCTTGCTCCTTGCATGCTTGCAGTATTTTGCTGAGTATCTGACCATGTGGCAGACGGGCTTCCTGCAGTGGGCAAACGAATAGCTGCAGTCCGACTGTGTCAAGCGCCCCGTCAAGCCTCTCCTGCAGTGAATGAACGGGTTCCCTGCTGCTCGGTTAAAGCGTGTCGACGTCTGCAGAGAGCAATGTATGCAAGCACTGTTCTGTAGGCTGTGCAGATCGTGACTAATGCGCGCTTGCGTATGCCAATAAAATTTTTGGAAGCTTGTTGATTCAAACACCTCATTTAGCGAAGCTTATCGCAGGGGACTACCCTGCAAGGTGCGATGCGACAGGACTCCTTCACTTCAATGTTTTGAATTCATGCAGAGCCGAGATTATGGAGCCTTGGAACAGTACTGTGGCTCATTAAATATGACTTGTCAGCACAGCCATTCATTGGTGAGTATTCCGCAAAACCGGCACGCATGGCAGTTCTATAAAGCTACATCAAGAAAAATGTCATTGTCAACTGTAATTTTATTGGGAAAAGCTGCAAAAACATGTCGAAAGACGAATGCAGACATCACAGTGCCTGTGGAATTGAAAACCAAGTTGAGCGACGGTGGCGTCCTCGTGAATGATTTCAGAAGGAGTGCTACAGCCAAGTTCTAATTTTAATATTCACGCACAGCAGTGCTTGTGCGCTGGAGGAAGTCTGGTTAGGGGACAAGAGCGTTTTCAAGCGAGGACTCCTGGGAAGTAGTACGCGTTATTCCCAATGATGAGCAGTGGCAATCAGACTGGTAATACTTGTTAACATGAGGAAATCAGGTCAGGGCGTTGGCGTTCATGGCAGTGAAGAGACGCTAAAGCCATGCACATTTGCATGCTTAGCCGCGTGTTTCAAATAGCAAACATTACTGGCAAGGCACTGTTGTGGGCAACCAACTAAAAGAGCAGTACAGCGTCAAAGCTGGGCGACTGACGAGTCGTACATAGATGTGAAAGCTTCTCAGACATAACAGTGCACAAGTGGCACCTGCGAGCACTCCGACTTATAGCTTGCACTGCGTTTGTCAATAAAATCTGATAGGTTGGCTCCTCAGAAGCAGCGTCTACTGGAAGCACAATCAGAGCACCTGTGGATGGGTACGTGCAGTTTTGTGCACAGGCGAGATTTGTGTTGGCGTTGGCAGAGAGGGTGGTTTGTGGTTAGAAGAAGCGTGGCTGTGAGGGCCGGGTTGATAAAGAAACGTTGCGTATAGATAACATTAGTTGGGTGGAAGGAGCAGGTGGGTGCGTGGTTGGATGGAAAGCAAGGGGCAGTAGTGAGCCGTGATGAGAGGTGGTTGGGTTTGTGGAATGTTGCGGAGAGCTCGACGAAGGGAGTGTAGGCATTGTTTATGGGCGTGCAGCAAGTGCGTAGTTGAGGCGTCAGCTGTGTTTGTGAGGGTGCAGTGGATGGTTGGTGGTTAGTAGAAGTGTGAGGGTGATGGTGTGGTTGGGAGAGAAGCGTTGCGTATGGGTAATTTGAGTTGGGTGGAAGGACCAGATGGGTGCGTGGTTGGACGGCAGTTCGTTGGGAAAGGAAGGGGCAGGAGTTAGCCGTGATGAGAGGTGGCTGGGTTTGTGGAATGTTGCGAAGAGGTCGGCGAGACGAATGCGGCTCTGTTTATGGGCGTGCAGCAAGTGCGTAGTTGAGGCGTCAGCTGTGTTTGTGAGGGTGGAGTGGATGGTTTGTGGTTAGCAGAAGGTTGAGTGTGATGGTGTGGTTGGGAGAGAAGCGTTGCGTATGGGTAATTTGAGTTGGATGGAAGGAGCAGATGGGTGCGTGGTTGGACGGAGGTTCGTTGAGAGAGGAAGGGGCAGGAGTTAGGCGTGATGAGAGGTGGTTGGGTTTGTGGAATGTTGCGGAGAGCTCGACGAAGGGAGTGTAGGCATTGTTTATGGGCGTGCAGCAAGTGCGTAGTTGAGGCGTCAGCTGTGCTTGTGAGGGTCCAGTGGATGGTTTGCGGTTAGTAAAGCGCGGCTGTGATGGTGAGGTTGGGAAAGAAGCTTTGCGCATAGGTTATTCCGGTTGGGTGTAAGGAGCAGATGGGTGCGTGGTTGGACGGCAGTTCGTTGGGAAAGAAAGGGGCAGGAGTTAGGCGTGATGAGAGGTGGTTGGGTTTGTGGAATGTTGCGAAGAGGTCGGCGAGACGAATGCTGGTCAATTATAGGGCGTTCAGGAAGTACCTAGGCGTGTCGAGAGTCGTGTTGGTGAGGGTGGAGTGGATGGTTTGTGGTTAGCAGAAGGTCGAGCGTGATGGTGTGGTTGGGAGAGAAGCGTTGCGTATGGGTAATTTGAGTTGGATGGAAGGAGCAGATGGGTGCGTGGTTGGACGGAGGTTCGTTGGGAAAGGAAGGGGCAGGAGTTAGGCGTGATGAGAGGTGGTTGGGTTTGTGGAATGTTGCGGAGAGCTCGACGAAGGGAGTGTAGGCATTGTTTATGGGCGTGCAGCAAGTGCGTAGTTGAGGCGTCAGCTGTGTTTGTGAGGGTGCAGTGGATGGTTGGTGGTTAGTAGAAGTGTGAGGGTGATGGTGTGGTTGGGAGAGAAGCGTTGCGTATGGGTAATTTGAGTTGAGTGTAAGGAGCAGATGGGTGCGTGGTTGGACGGCAGTTCGTTGGGAAAGGAAGGGGCAGGAGTTAGGCGTGATGAGAGGTGGTTGGGTTTGTGGAATGTTGCGGAGAGCTCGATGAAGGGAGTGTAGGCATTGTTTATGGGCGTGCAGCAAGTGCGTAGTTGAGGCGTCAGCTGTGTTTGTGAGGGTGCAGTGGATGGTTTGCGATTAGTAAATGCGCGGCTGTGATGGTGAGGTTGGGAAAGAAGCTTTGCGCATAGGTTATTCCGGTTGGGTGTAAGGAGCAGATGGGTGCGTGGTTGGACGGCAGTTCGTTGGGAAAGGAAGGGGCAGGAGTTAGGCGTGATGAGAGGTGGTTGGGTTTGTGGAATGTTGCGAAGAGGTCGGCGAGACGAATGCTGGTCTATTATAGGGCGTTCAGGAAGTACGTAGGCGTGTCGAGAGTTGTGTTGGTGAGGGTGGAGTGGATGGTTTGCGGTTAGCAGAAGGTTGAGCGTGATGGTGTGGTTGGGAGAGAAGCGTTGCGTATGGGTAATTTGAGTTGGGTGGAAGGAGCAGATGGGTGCGTGGTTGGACGGCAGTTCGTTGGGAAAGGAAGGGGCAGGAGTTAGGCGTGATGAGAGGTGGTTGGGTTTGTGGAATGTTGCGAAGAGGTCGGCGAGACGAATGCTGGCGCTATTTTAGGGCGTTCAGGAAGTACGTAGGCGTGTCGAGAGTTGTGTTGGTGAGGGTGGAGTGGATGGTTTGTGGTTAGCAGAAGGTTGAGTGTGATGGTGTGGTTGGGAGAGAAGCGTTGCGTATGGGTAATTTGAGTTGGGTGGAAGGAGCAGATGGGTGCGTGGTTGGACGGCAATTCGTTGGGAAAGGAGGGGGCAGGAGTTAGGCGTGATGAGAGGTGGTTGGGTTTGTGGAATGTTGCGAAGAGGTCGGCGAGACGAATGCTGCCGCTATTCAAGGGCGTTCAGGAAATACGTAGGCGTGTCGAGAGTTGTGTTGGTGAGGGTGGAGTGGATGGTTTGTGGTTAGCAGAAGGTCGAGCGTGATGGTGTGGTTGGGAGAGAAGCGTTGCGTATGGGTAATTTGAGTTGGATGGAAGGAGCAGATGGGTGCGTGGTTGGACGGAGGTTCGTTGGGAAAGGAAGGGGCAGGAGTTAGGCGTGATGAGAGGTGGTTGGGTTTGTGGAATGTTGCGGAGAGCTCGACGAAGGGAGTGTAGGCATTGTTTATGGGCGTGCAGCAAGTGCGTAGTTGAGGCGTCAGCTGTGTTTGTGAGGGTGGAGTGGATGGTTGGTGGTTAGTAGACGTGTGAGTGTGATGGTGTGGTTGGGAGAGAAGCGTTGCGTATGGGTAATTTGAGTTGGGTGGAAGGAGCAGATGGGTGCGTGGTTGGACGGCAGTTCGTTGGGAAAGGAAGGGGCAGGAGTTAGGCGTGATGAGAGGTGGTTGGGTTTGTGGAATGTTGCGGAGAGCTCGACGAAGGGAGTGTAGGCATTGTTTATGGGCGTGCAGCAAGTGCGTAGTTGAGGCGTCAGCTGTGTTTGTGTGGGTGCAGTGGATGGTTTGCGGTTAGTAAAGCGCGGCTGTGATGGTGAGGTTGGGAAAGAAGCTTTGCGCGTAGGTTATTCCGGTTGGGTGTAAGGAGCAGATGGGTGCGTGGTTGGACGGCAGTTCGTTGGGAAAGGAAGGGGCAGGAGTTAGGCGTGATGAGAGGTGGTTGGGTTTGTGGAATGTTGCGAAGAGGTCGGCGAGACGAATGCTGGTCTATTATAGGGCGTTCAGGAAGTACGTAGGCGTGTCGAGAGTTGTGTTGGTGAGGGTGGAGTGGATGGTTTGCGGTTAGCAGAAGGTTGAGCGTGATGGTGTGGTTGGGAGAGAAGCGTTGCGTATGGGTAATTTGAGTTGGGTGGAAGGAGCAGATGGGTGCGTGGTTGGACGGCAGTTCGTTGGGAAAGGAAGGGGCAGGAGTTAGGCGTGATGAGAGGTGGTTGGGTTTGTGGAATGTTGCAAAGGGGTCGGCGAAGACCAATGCTGCTCTATTTTAGGGCGTTCAGGAAGTGCGTAATTGAGGCGAGAGTTGTGTTTGTGAGGGTGGAGTGGATGGTTTGTGGTTAGCAGAAGGTTGAGCGTGATGGTGTGGTTGGGAGAGAAGCGTTGCGTATGGGTAATTTGAGTTGGGTGGAAGGAGCAGATGGGTGCGTGGTTGGACGGCAATTCGTTGGGAAAGGAGGGGGCAGGAGTTAGGCGTGATGAGAGGTGGTTGGGTTTGTGGAATGTTGCGAAGAGGTCGGCGAGACGAATGCTGCCGCTATTCAAGGGCGTTCAGGAAGTACGTAGGTGAGGCGTCAGCTGTGTTTGTGAGGGTGGAGTGGATGGTTTGTGGTTAGCAGAAGGTTGAGCGTGATGGTGTGGTTGGGAGAGAAGCGTTGCGTATGGGTAATTTGAGTTGGGTGGAAGGAGCAGATGGGTGCGTGGTTGGACGGCAATTCGTTGGGAAAGGAGGGGGCAGGAGTTAGGCGTGATGAGAGGTGGTTGGGTTTGTGGAATGTTGCGAAGAGGTCGGCGAGACGAATGCTGCCGCTATTCAAGGGCGTTCAGGAAGTACGTAGGCGTGTCGAGATTTGTGTTGGTGAGGGTGGAGTGGATGGTTTGTGGTTAGCAGAAGGTTGAGTGTGATGGTGTGGTTGGGAGAGAAGCGTTGCGTATGGGTAATTTGAGTTGGGTGGAAGGAGCAGATGGGTGCGTGGTTGGACGGAGGTTCATTGGGAAAGGAAGGGGCAGGAGTTAGGCGTGATGAGAGGTGGTTGGGTTTGTGGAATGTTGCGGAGAGCTCGACGAAGGGAGTGTAGGCATTGTTTATGGGCGTGCAGCAAGTGCGTAGTTGAGGCGTCAGCTGTGTTTGTGAGGGTGGAGTGGATGGTTGGTGGTTAGTAGACGTGTGAGTGTGATGGTGTGGTTGGGAGAGAAGCGTTGCGTATGGGTAATTTGAGTTGGGTGGAAGGAGCAGATGGGTGCGTGGTTGGACGGCAGTTCGTTGGGAAAGGAAGGAGCAGGAGTTAGCCGTGATGAGAGGTGGCTGAGTTCGCGGAATGTTGCGAAGAGGTCGGCGAGACGAATGCTGCTCTATTTAGGGCGTTCAAAAACTGCGTATCTGAGGCGAGAGTTGTGTTGGTGAGGGTGGAGTGGATGGTTTGTGGTTAGCAGAAGGTTGAGTGTGATGGTGTGGTTGGGAGAGAAGCGTTGCGTATGGGTAATTTGAGTTGGGTGTAAGGAGCAGATGGGTGCGTGGTTGGTCGCCAGTTCGTTGGGAAAGGAAGGGGCAGGAGTTAGCCGTGATGAGAGGTGGTTGGGTTTCTTGAATGTTGCGGAGAGCTCGACGAAGGGAGTGTAGGCATTGTTTATGGGCGTGCAGCAAGTGCGTAGTTGAGGCGTCAGCTGTGTTTGTGAGGGTGGAGTGGATGGTTGGTGGTTAGTAGACGTGTGAGTGTGATGGTGTGGTTGGGAGAGAAGCGTTGCGTATGGGTAATTTGAGTTGGGTGGAAGGAGCAGATGGGTGCGTGGTTGGACGGCAGTTCGTTGGGAGAGGAAGGGCAGGAGTTAGCCGTGATGAGAGGTGGTTGGGTTCGTGGAATGTTGCGGAGAGCTCGAATAAGGGAGTGTAGGCATTGTTTATGGGCGTGCAGCAAGTGCGTAGTTGAGGCGTCAGTTGTGTTGGTGAGGGTGGAGCGGATGGTTTGCGGTTAGTAAAGCGCGGCTGTGATGGTGAGGTTGGGAAAGAAGCTTTGCGCATAGGTTATTCCGGTTGGGTGTAAGGAGCAGATGGGTGCGTGGTTGGACGGCAGTTCGTTGGGAAGGGAAGGGCAGGAGTTAGCCGTGATGAGAGGTGGTTGAGTTCGTGGAATGTTGCGAAGAGGTCGTCGAGACGAATGCTGGCGCTATTTTAGGGCGTTCAGGAAGTACGTAGGCGTGTCGAGAGTTGTGTTGGTGAGGGTGGAGTGGATGGTTTGTGGTTAGCAGAAGGTTGAGCGTGATGGTGTGGTTGGGAGAGAAGCGTTGCGTATGGGTAATTTGAGTTGGGTGGAAGGAGCAGATGGGTGCGTGGTTGGACGGCAGTTCGTTGGGAAAGGAAGGGGCAGGAGTTAGGCGTGATGAGAGGTGGTTGGGTTTGTGTAATGTTGCGGAGAGCTCGACGAAGGGAGTGTAGGCATTGTTTATGGGCGTGCAGCAAGTGCGTAGTTGAGGCGTCAGCTGTGTTTGTGAGGGTGCAGTGGATGGTTGGTGGTTAGTAGAAGTGTGAGTGTGATGGTGTGGTTGGGAGAGAAGCGTTGTGTATGGGTAATTTGAGTTGGGTGGAAGGAGCAGATGGGTGCGTGGTTGGACGGCAGTTCGTTGGGAAAGGAAGGAGCAGGAGTTAGGCTGATGAGAGGTGGTTGAGTTCGCGGCATGTCGCGAAGAGGTCG